CTTTAAATGACGAAACTGAGGACCAGGAAAATACGTTAAAATAAAATAAAAATGAAATGTCACTGTTACTTGGTCTAATATGCCCTGGATTATATTTCATTTAGTCAGTGACCGTTTGAGGAGGTAGCTAGCGAACAGGATTTTGTAGAGAACTTTTACGACATCCGGTCCGCTATTATGCCTCCTCTTTTCCCTACCAGTATTCTACGATTCTGGAAAAATCAAACCTTTTATCAAATTAGAAAGGTAATTTTGAACGAGTTCGTTTATAAACACTAAATTTTATAAATTTATAGCCCAATTTTTCTTTAGAGATAAATAATGTTTGTTGTGTTAACTAACCTTGTTAAAGGTAAACTCTTGAAAAGTACTAGTTACATTTTTAAAATGGTAGGTAGTAGTTAAAAAGTTACTAGTTATGTTATTTGGAAATATTTTAATTTAAAAAAAATATTACGCAAGCCTGGAGATTTTGCTAATGGAAATTTTGGGATTTCGCTAATATTATCCTGATTAAAATCTTGATTTAAAATTGAACGAAATCGAACCGTTAACAACACAACACTATAGTTACAAATTAAATTTCAGAAAAAATTAGTTATATAGGAACTTACGTATAATTTGTTTTATTATACAAAAAATTTTCGTAAGTTTTAATATAATTAGATGACAAATTATGTCATTTTTAAAAGTAATAAGTTACATTTGGAAGTTACTTTATAAATAATTTATATATAAACTCATCATTTTTAATTATATATATATTTTAATACAAAAAGCAAAGTTTTAATCAAAGGAAATTTAAATGGAAAATTGTATTGAAAAAAATAATTTATATAATATATTGCACAGAAAAAAAAATATATAAAATAACGAATATAATATTTATTTTTCGTCAAAAAATTTGAGATTAAGTTTTTATTTGAATTTATGTGCCTTATATATTGTGCTTGTTTTCCTCTAAAGATAGGCTTCTTCCTTAGATAAACTGAACAGACGTTCTACAAGATCACTTTATGTGAGGTAAGTGTAATCCTTCGACAAATAAAGGTTATAGTTCAATGTTTTTAAAGTATTTTTTTTTTGGACACACAGAACCCTTGAACCCTCCACTTTCTAAAAAGGGTTCGGTTTCGGGTTCGGTTTCGGTTTCGGTTTCGGGTTCGGTTTTTGCAAAAATAACGAGTAGGAAGGGTGCATTATGTAAGTTAGACATTATTCTTAATATTAAAAGTAGTTTCGAATTTGGGGAAATCATCATTCCTAGCTAGCTAATAAATGAACGAGATATATTGTAATTATTTTAACATTTTTTTAAAAAAAAAAGATACTTTAAAAGTAACTAGTTACTTTTAACCCCATTTATTACGGGGGAAAAGAAAATTTAATTATTATATCATTATTATATAATATCGGAAATTAAATTTTTATTCTATTTTTTTCAAGCAGGTGAATTTATTATTATTATTTTATTAATGATTATATTTTTATATTATACTAAACAAAATAATCAAATGTCAACTCAAATCACTGTATTCCAAAATAATCTTAACCTTTTCTCCTCTCAAGGTCCACGATAATAAAATACAACGACGAAACGAAAAATGTTTTTAATGAGACATTTATATATTATAATACATTATAATATAATATAATGATAAATTCGAATATTGGATTGACAAATAATAAACTTTTGTGGATATCATTGATATATTTCGTCATTTTATAATCATTATAAAGTAATTATTTCCTGATTAAATTTCATTAACAAAATTGCTCAAATTATAACCAAAGTCAATTTTTTTTATAAATTTTCCAATTAAAATCAAATAATTTCTTATTTTTTTTGGCCATGATTCATTTGTCTATTTATTATATACTAACCCTTTTTGGGTTATATTTTGTGAGAAGTGAAGAAATGTATATTTCGCAATCATTTTAATTTAAGGATGGAAGCATTTTTTTTAAAAAAAAATAAAATAATTCTATTTTTCGAAAAATATATTTTATCTAAAAAAATTATCGACATAAAAAAAAATAGGAAATTCTAAGTAAATCAAGCGCAGACAAAGTGTTTCAAAAAAGAATAAAAAATTGTTCAGGGAACTTCCAAAGTTTCTTAGGAAGTTCGAGTTTCCTTGAGGTTGTTAAGTGTTTAGTTTATCTTAATCGTACATCCCATTGGCGGAACGAACGAGAGGCATTTTAGTTAAATATAATTAATTTTTAGACGTTTTATGAAATAATTGATTAATTTTTAAACTATTAAAATATATAGGATATTGGGTTAATTTTAAAAATAAATTTTTATTAATCATTCATTATCCTCATCTTCTCGACACTTTGTTATAGATTTTAATTATGAATATTATTATCAATTATTTTTTTCACGCGTAGTCAACAAAATATTTAAATAAAATAAAATGTCAATCAAAATATTAACACGCCTTTCATAAAATTCTTTTTTTTATTTTATTTTATTTTTTTGGAATAATAATTTAACGAAAAGAAAAATTTATAAAAAATAAAAGGGGAAGAAAAAAAATTGATTTTAAAAAAAAAGTCTCGTTTTCCTTTCTTATAACAGCTGATGTCCAAAAAAATCTCAAATTCAATTCGCAAACTTTTGTGGAAACTTTATCGAAAAATAAGAAATAACCTATCTTTTTAAATATAAAATTAAAAAACGTGTCCAAAATATGATTCCAGAATTTTTTAAAATTTCTGAAAGTTTTAAAACTTCCAAATTTTTTTTTCAAAAAAAATGCTTTCCTAATTCTTACCATTTCGATTTTAAAAATTTCTTCTTTGATTAATTACATTTTTATATTTAAAAAAAGGTATTCCATCATTTTAAGATTCTATCAACTTGTTTGGGAAGAAAAAAGTAACTAAGAAACTCTTATTTAAATTTGGAACGTATACTTTCATAGAGGAGACCAATGATATAATGAGCCGGTGGCTCTGACGTAGAAGAGGTTGGAGTGACCAGGAGTTAGAACGGGCCCTGAGTTAAAGCAAGTCTTGGACATTTTTTTTCAAAAGCATATTAAAAGTCTAAAAATTTTTTTAATTTACCCTTCTTCACTAAAAAATGGTTACAATATATCACCATAAAGAAGAATTTGATAATGAAAAATTGGTAAAAGTTCAATAACATTTTTTCTTTATAAATAACGACTTTTTAGTTCAAATATATAAATTTTATTTGCAAAAAAAATTATAAATTTTGATTTTCAGCACTTCGTGCTTAAGGAATAACCTTCACTAGGTATGTGATCTTTCCCCCGAACATGAAATTTACTTAGGGAATTTTTAGAAAGAAAAGTATTTTTGTGAAAACCCAAAATTATTTATATTTTTATAAAAATTGCAATATAGTCAAAGGCTTATACTATTGGTGGACCCTAAGGACTTCTAATAAGATTGATGGCGGAAAATTTGGCCTTAGGAAAAATGATTCATATAATTGCTTGCAAAAATCTTTTTAGGAATTTTTACAATTTTCTAAAATAAAAAATGAAAGATTAATTAAATATTTTTGCCCTTATCTTATATATAAAAGAAAACTCCTATATCTTCCCCCCCCCCCCATATATTAATTAATGTTAGCGGCCAAAAAAAATAAAAAATGTCTTTAAAATTAAAATTTTTATTGATAGTGGTGATAGGTTAAGATAAAACAGTGGAGCAGTGAATAATTTCTATATTTATCCGGTGTCTGATAGACAGCTAGTGTATCCAGAAAAATATTGCACGAGTCTGAAGATTTTGCTCATAGAAGGAAACTAAGGTCTAGACATTCTATTATCTGAATCTCGAGGCTTATAGGCAACATTTTTTTCTGGCTAAAATATGAGTTAGTTTTAAGAAATCATGAGGCGTTTAACAACCTATTTTGGTTTAAGTTAAAAGATTTTACATTTGTGCTTCTCTTCTCTTCTCTTCTCTTCTCTTCTCTTTCTCTCTTCTTCTTCTTCTCTTCTCTTCTCTTCTCTCTTCTTCTCTTCTCTTCTTCTTCTCTTCTCTTCTTCTTCTTCTTCTTCTCTTCTCTTCTCTTCTCTTCTTCTTCTTCTTCTTCTCTTCTTCTCTTCTTCTCTTCTCTTCTCTCTTCTTCTCTTCTTCTCTTCTCTTCTCTTCTCTCTCTCTTCTCTCTCTTCTCTCTTCTCTTCTCTTCTCTTCTCTCTCTTCTTCTCTTCTCTTCTCTTCTCTTCTCTTCTCTTCTCTTCTCTTCTCTTATCTTCTCTTATGGTCTCCGATATGGTTATAATAAGGGAATCAATATTATGAAGGTGTGTGTTTGTTCCAAGAGGTATGATTGCGAAAAGTGGTAAATTATTTTAAAATTCATTGATGAAAAAAAAAAATCTATTATTATTTCTTGCTATTGATTTTAACCGAAAAAAAAAATTAATTAATGAGTTAAGTGTTAAAAGAATTCTTCCATATTGGGTTACTATATAATGGACACGGATTATCAGTCGTATGAGTCTATTGGCAGAAAAAAAAACTCATTCTTAATTTTATAAATAATTTATGTTTTCATTACATATGTAGCAAACATAGCAGTATCCTTATTTTTAAATTTTCTCTATCTTATTACCTGTCAAATCGATATCTTTTCAAAAAGGTTTTAAAATAAAATATTATAATATTTATTTATATATCTTTTCTTTTCTTTAATTTATTTATATTTTTTTTTAAAAAAAAATGTTACTTGAAAGAGTTTTTTATATATAAATAAAATATTTATTTTTTAAAAATTAAAATTAAATTTAATTGATAAAAAATATTTTCAAGTATTTAATTTTTAATTTAATATATTATAAAAATTGTATAATATTTTAAATTTAAAATTTTTTTTTACTAAAATATATTTAATTTATTATTTTATTTTTAAAATTTTAGCAAAAATAATTTAAAATTCTATTTTTTATTTTTGAATTATATAATTTAAATCAAAAGTTTAAAAAAAAATCAAAAAAAAATAACCCCAAGCTATGAATGAAATAATACTCGAAACAAATAATAATAATAATAATAATAATAATATGCCCTATTTTCGTCACCCCGATGAATCGCTAATGACAGAAAATTCTAATGTAGTACAATGCACGGAATTCGTAGTTTCTCCAGTATTAAAGCCCAATTGCTACTCGCCCACTGCTAGAGATGACGAACAAGATATTCTCCCTGACCCAAGTTTTTGCCGCTACAAAAACTCCAAAACTGGGGGTCAAGGTGAAATTGGCAACGTAAAGTCCCTCGTAACATCCTTTAGAAATCACGATCAGTCAAATCGCTCCGACAAATTAAACGCGAGCTACCCTAATAATAGGGTCGATGATGACGCGGACGATAAAATACGCCTCAAGACGAACAAAGAACGGGCGTCTAACTGCAAAAAGAGATCTCACCTTTTTTCCATCAACGGAATACTGGGTAACAACAACACGACTTCTAGTAGCGGTAACGATCAATGCGGTCGAAAGTATTATCAAGGAGCCGATCTCAGATCCAAGTCTCAAGAATTGGAAAAGGAATCGACCGACAAACCGTCTCCCCCGCTTTCCTTGACGGACGAGACGAGGAAACGGAAGTCACTCGATAACAAACACCATTATTCCGGCTCCCGGGGCTTGTGTGATACACAAGAAGGATCGTTAAACTTAAAGACCTCAAACACCGAAAAGGTCATTTTTCCCAAAGTATTCACCAAAAATGGTCTTAATAAAAATAATCACCTAGCGACAAATTTTAACGACAAATTTCTCCCATATCCGAATGACGTCGTGAGCGGAGGAGGCTACGATTCCGCTCAGCCGGAAATGGATCCCCAAAATATTTCCCAACTTTGCGATATGTATTTCATGAATTATTACAATTATTATTACCAACAAAACCCTCAATCACTTTACCCACCGCATGTTATGCTGCCCGGAATCGATCAGAGAAAAATGGCGCCAAGTCTAAATAAAAATGTCTCCAAAGATGGTGTCGGCGATCTTCTTGGAGCGCATCTCATCGACAGAGAAACGATTTCAAAGTATGGCGAAAGGTTCGAAATTAATGACAAAAAATTGACATTGAACCACAAGAACGGCAAAAAACGCAGGCAAGCAGCTGATCACCCTCCCACGCCTCTTAGCAGGGATAAAACTTTCCAAGGATACGATTCTAACAAAGATCTCGCGATGAAAATAATTGACGATTCCCCTACGAACCTTCTAGAGAACGAAAATCTTTCCGAAAATAATCATTTTCGCCAAAATATATCTACGGAACACATCGAGAGTCAACCTGAAGACGACTCGAATGACCCTAACAGCAAAGAATTTATCTCTGAAGGTTCGGAACACGAAAATGATTTGATCGATTCTAGGTATCGCAAGGGATTTAACTGGGATGTCGCGTCAAAATATTATACCAAAAGTAATAGAAATAATAAACTAAATTGCCTTATTATATTAAGACTTTTGCGGAGAGAGTGAGAGAGAAAAACGTACCGAGGAGTGATGATTATCGATTTGTTTTATTTTTGACGTAAATGGTTATTGATTGACTGGCAGGGGAATTTAAGAGCTAAAGGCTACGCAATTTTAGCCCAATTCCATTTTAGTCATTCCCATATTATTGTTATATAGATATATAAGATTTTTTTTGATGGGCTATAAATATTATAATGTTAAAGTTAAAAAAATGGCTCCCTAAAATTTCTCCTCATCAGTTGAGGTAGTAACTAATATTCGAATTACATTGTTTTTTTTTTAAAAAAAAAAAAAAAAAATTTAAATCATCCAATGAAAATCCGTTTATTTTAGCCCTATCAGGTTTAAAATTGAGAAAGTCAAGGTTAATTAGTAAAATATATTATAAAAAAAAAAAATCTTTTCCCGCCCATTTTTAAAAAAAATCATGTAAAAAGAAGAGAATAAAATCACGTGTCTATTCCATATCATTCCTTTAGCATGGTTCCAACATAGGATATACCCGCATCTCTCCATTTTTAGCGAGAACTGATTAGAGAGAGAAGGAGGCCGGGATTTTTTATTACTTTAAAATTATGCCCCTCAAAAACGAATGGTGAAATATACCGTTCTTGATCGATTTGGTGTAATTATTAAAAGGATCAATCAGTTCGTTCACAAGAATCGGATACCAATAATCCGTTATTCGGTTAATATTCGATTCTGAAATAGGTCTCAAGAAAACCTGCTAAATTTGTATATCATCGATTCCTCTTATAATCTTTTTATAACAAAATCCAATTTTATAATATGAAAATAAAAAAAATTTATAAATTAAATATAATTATAAATTACAGCAAAAACTTAACACTCTTCTAACTCTTAAAATCAACTTCCATCTAACAAGTTCTTATGGTAAAAAAAAAAGAAAATTTTAATTTCTTTATATATATATCTTCTTTGTGTAATTTTTACAAAAAGACTGATATTCTTTTCAAAACCCCCACTGGAATTCTTTACACAAAAAATTTCATATAATTTTTCCTTTAATCATGTTTAATTAAATTCCATTTAAACCATATTATTATATATTAATATAAAAAATTCATTTTTTGATCTCGAAAAATAACAAATTTTCTTTTTAAAAACTTTATATATTTTCATTTATTTTTACAGCCATAAGAATTTAATTAATTTTTTTTTATATATTCCAATCAAAATGCAATCTTATATTCCTACACCCCCCCCCCCTTGGTGATGTTTAGTTGATTTGGAAATAATAATTAACTAGAAGTTATTAAAGTTTAAAAGTTTTTATAATAATTTATATATATATATTTTTAAAAAATAAAATAAAATTATTAGAATTCAATAATTAAAATAAATTCGATTAATTCCTTTCCACTCTCCTTTTTTTTCTTCCTATTTTTTTCATATTTTCCATTCCTTTGATCCGGGCTGAAGCCGATGGAAGCAAAAAAAAAAGAGAAATAGTTTTTAATTTTTCTTATAAAAAAAAAATTACATTAAAATTTATCGTTATATAAATGGAATTTTTAATTTATAATTTTTTATAATTTTTTATAATTATAAAAATATTCCATTGAAAAAAAAATATTATACTGTGTATTAAATAAGCGCTCAATTCAGAAGAAAAAGTTTATTTCATAATGGTATAGTTTTTCCTTGTATTTTATTTTGTTGCTTTCGTCAAGATGAAAGAATTTCTTTAAAAAAATATATTCATTTTTACATTAAGGAATAATCTTATATAAAATATATAATTGTAAAATTAATAAATGTAATAATGTAAATAATTAAAATAACCAAGAAAAATAAAAGCTACACTTCCCTTAAAATTTATAATAAAAAAATTTATTAGATAAAATTAGAACCCTTTTATATAAATTGAAATTCTTGGAAATTGAAGTGTCATTTGTTAGGACTGCGAATTCCAATATTAGGGTTCGGAATATTTAAAATCATTAGGTTGGGCATTTTGGCATTTTTGCTACCATAGACCCAATTAGAGACCGATTTCTGGGAGAGGACAGCCCCCGTCCAACACTGGTTAATATTGATCAGGGGCGGCTTAAGACTCCTTTCAGAAAATCGGTTATCAAAATTTCAGCTAAATTAGGGTTTAAAAATTCTCGAGCCCAAATTAGGGTTCACAGCCGTGATTATTCTGTGATAAATGTGTATAATTGATTATTGAATTAATAAAACTGTAACTAATTTAAATACGATTTACATGAGAGTTGGTAAAATATGACCCGGTTCTAAAGAAAAATCCAAAGATTTATCTTTTAGTTGAATTCCTTAGATCTGAAGGCTGGTTTGCTGGCCCTTAGATATATTATGGGCGGAAGGGGAACTAAAAAATATAACGTTTCTTATTTTGATTGTTTTTTTTCTTCTTCAAATATTAGTATTGCGATCCATAAGCGAATTGCGATTGTGATATTGGGCGAGTGAGAAGTTGGGGGGAGAGGCAAGATGAGGAGGGGAAAGATGACCCCCTTCACCCCACGGGCTAAATATAATACAGATGCCGGCTAAAATATATATATTATTTACATTTATAATTACATTCACAAAAATTTATTCATTTTTCGGCGTTATCTTTATCTGTGCCATTTAAAAATTTCCTACCAAATCATTTGAAAACGTTTTTCACTGTCAAAACTAAAGCAAAATATTTTCAAAAAAAAAAAATATGACGAAGATTTTATGATAGAGACTCATGGAAGATAGCTGAAAGTATTGTATTTGGAAACTTAAATTAGGACAAATGTATACGACAAATTTCATTTGAGTCAAAGAGATCTATGATTTTAGTATTCTACCTCGACTCGCAGTAAGAAAGTCCTGAGTCAAGGAATATAAATAAATAACCTTATGTCACTATTGGATACTTTTTATACAACTCAAATGAATGAAAGGTTGTTCTCGATTATGATTGCATTTACAAGGTGAATGCAAACTTATGGTATATAAAAGGTTATAAATGGTCGATAAGGTTCCAAGTAAAAATGCTATAGATGACATCGCATCTTTATAAACATGGGAAATCTGCTTATTAGTTACTTTCTATAGATGAAAAACAGCTGAGAATTAGTTAGAGCCGATTTTTTAAAAAATCTAGCTTAGTATTTTGCCAGAAAAATATTGCTTAAATCTCTGGATTTCGCTCTAATAGATGTCTAACCCTGTGTGCCATCTTTGAGTAAAATCATAAAGACTTGAGTAATTATTCTTCTAGGGTAAAAGATTTATTTAGCCATTTTTATGAACTCAAATCGTGTCATTTAATAACTCAACCTTAGAAAATAGCTTCAACGAATGTTAGCCCTTTCTAAATATATATAGGGAGTTTGACACTGAGCACTGATAAAATCATCGAAAAATTGGCACAATCCCAAAGAAGATTTAATTTGCAATAATTCTTGGGAATATTAAAATTTATATATCGAATTTTAAACTTAAAAAAAATTTGTTCTTTTTTTTATAATGATTAATAAGTCGATTTTTATACATTTTAATAAATTTTTTTTATAATTAATTTATAATTGAATTTGTTTATATTAGAAATTGTCTATTATTTTATAGTATAGTCTTAATAAATTTTATTAAACCTTTAAGTTATTCTTAAATAACTCATAGAATAATTTTTAATCCCCCCCCCTCTTCCCCTCACCACAACGAATTCTCGCTGAACATACGTGTGTCATGTCATTTATATTCTTATCGAAAAATTAAAATGAATGATAGGTAAAGATTTGTACGAAAATGATATGGACTCGAGTCACGAAGAGGATGAAGACGATACAGATTCCCATTCCTGTCAAACGAGTAAAAAGCCCAGGAAAGCTAGGACAGCTTTCAGCGACCACCAACTGAATAGCCTGGAAAAATCTTTCGAAAAACAGAAATATTTGAGTGTTCAAGATAGAATGGAATTGGCTGGAAGACTGAACCTTTCGGACACTCAAGTCAAGACCTGGTACCAGAATAGGAGGTATAATTCGATTAATTACATATATTTATCAGATTCTAGAAGGTACGTCTAAGTTATATCCCATTTAGATGGCCAAATGACTTATCCACTCATCGATATTGATTTTATACTATTTGCTTATGAATTTTTTTCCCATTCGATCATCTGCAAATATAATAGGGGGGGGGGCATTCAAATAGACAACAGAAATGATGAGATTATGTCATATTCTCCCGCCTAAATTTTGGTTGGACCTAGATTTTAACATAGAACATTTTTAACGTCATTTTGCTACTTTACGATAACGGGTTTGAATACCATTGTTCCTCCATTGCCATTTTTGAATATAAAGAATTCGATTAGATCCATATTCTAAGAAAGTATCCCATATATCTCCAGGAAGTCGAAACCTCACCCAGCTCATATTTTAAATAAATTGTATGGAAGAAATAAATTTAGTCTTTGAGAATAATTTTGACTTTTTTAAAAACTCTTATGGGATAGTAATGGGAGTCATAATCTTTGATCATGTTTCCTGGGAGAATTTTCGGAATAGAATATTTTAAGAGTTATGATGTGATATATCACGGATATACATTAATAACCTTTCCGCTCAAGAAAATAAACCTGTAAGGTTCTATATGGGGTCGGTTGTACTAATTTCATTTTCTCTGTAGTCAAATGGCTAAAAAAAAATTTAATAATTTCTCCATAGATTTTCGTTTTTTTTTAAAGTTAATTTATACACACTTCATGTTATGAATCATTATTTTTCGTTTAGGACTAAATGGAAGAGGCAAACAGCCGTAGGACTTGAACTATTAGCGGAAGCCGGAAATTACAATGCCGTGACGCGTTTATTGGCCCAAAATCCTTATTGGTACGCGAATTACGCCTCAGGCGCTCCTTTCCCTTTAGACAAAACCCACAACATAGCCGAATTACTCAAAAACCAGGACGAATCGACAAAATTTTTGGTACCTACCTGTGACGCCGGTATCATAGCTACCGCCATCTCTCCGTCGCCAAATAACGGTACGTCAATCGCTTCGAATAAATTTTCCAAACCCAGTCGACGAGACAAATCTACGAATGACACGAAAGAGACTGATAACCCTTACAATCTATTATCTAGACCCTTGCCATCATTACCCATGCCCCATTCTGCTATGGGGCGCTTCCCCATCATGCCCCACCATCCCATGTATTATTACAACGGTTACAATCAGCAAGTGAACAACAATAAAAGTAAATCTAATGATTATCACAGAAGGGATTACGAGTCAAGGTACAGTAACACGAGTAGTCGTAGTGGCAGTAGTAATCGTTGCAATAGTAATGAAGACATTACAAAAGACGTCATCGATAAAAACGATGAAGTCAGAGAGAAGGATTCAATTGGTCACAAAAAAGGAGGAAGACGCAATGACGAAAAATTTAACCGACCTATCATGTCGGAGATTAAGAATGAAAGGGAAGACAATTTCTTAGACGATAAAGTTAAAATGGTACCCCGTGTTGGATCGAACGAAATTCGGGATTATAGTGGAATTCCGCTTGAGGGTTCCCATAGCGACTCCCCTGCCGCTCACCGCGAAGGAAGGATTAAGGAGAAGAAAGAATCAAATTTTAAAGATTATCAAACCAAGGAGAGTAACCAAAATTACATTTCAAACCCGTTCCTATCACCTGTTCGCGTTCAATCCAACGCCCCACCCTGGAGTCATCCTTTCACGTCCTTCCACAAGGCTAGCGAAAAGATCAATTGATCAATCATCACCCTTTTTTTTTGAAAATGGATCGGTTTTGGAATAATTCATAAATCACAGAATAATCAATTTTTTTTTTTTTCAAAAATATTTTACATTTTATAAATCGATGGTTTTTGTTAAATATTTAATATTTATTTATAAAATTAAAATTAAATCGCATAGATAAATTTTTTTAAGTAATAAGTAAATTCGACAAATTTTTATATCATAAATATATATACCTAAAAATTCTTATTATACTTATTTGTGTAATCAATCAATGTATCATTCATTTTATTTATATAAATAACTTATCATTAAAATATTCTAATTTTGATACAGGCGAGTTAACCAAGGTGGTGTGAGGGTGAACTCCCCTAATAGTAAATTTGCCTGCCACACCCTTACACCCTGCCCCCTCCAACCCCCTCAAATATCACTATAAAGAAAAGTTAGTAAAAGTTAATAAGTAGGGAGAAAAAAAGGCATTTTTATTAATAATCTGATTGCATATCCAAAGATCTATATAATAAGAGGGCCTGAAGACTCCTAGTAAAGTTTATGGCGGAAAAAACCCATCTAGCACTTCCCCATTCCCTCTTGATAAAATCCTGGATATGATATGACAGAGCTCTCCTCTTCATTGTTTAAAGATCAAGGCAGGGGCCATTAAAAAAAATTTTTTTTTTAGTTCAAACTACATGGATTAATCTAACGAATTTTAGCAGAATTAATATTAAGCAATATTCGAGATTTCGTCAACACATGTCCAAACCTTTCTGCCATCTATGGGCAAAATATTCATAACTTTCGTAATAACTTTTTGAAATCAAATTTTGAGAGTAGCTCGTGTTATTTAAAAATTGAGCCGTTTAATAACATTCACTCACTCTGCACATAATTTTCCAATTTTCCCTTGAAGCAATTCGCAAAATCCGGACAAAAAAAATTATTTTTTAAAATTAAGAAATTTATGAAAAAAAAAAAAAATTCGGGATTGTGACGTAAAATGATCAAAAAATGGCCGGGTTTATATATGACCCTATAATTTTTGGGGAGAAAGTTATTTTTTTTACAGGGAGTTCCCAAGATTCTTGTTACATGATTCTGATTCGACACTGAGAATAATATAATCTAAAGTAAAAACCTCATCAGAATAGAGTAATATAATCATCATTTTTTAACACCTAGAATAGATTTTTAGCCCCTGGCATGGTAGGGTATTATTACCGAAAAAGTAAATAAGATTGGAGGTATATATTAAAAAAATAAAGATTTGTGGTTAATCAAATTCCATTTCTAAAAGAATGATAAGCATAGGATGGAAAATCCTATGAGGTTGGTAAATAGGGATTTCAGGATTTCTATCTGCAATATTTGTCGAGGGATAAATCCAATATGGAGAGATAATATTTTTAAAAGGGTCAAAATAATTTTTATAGTATTTGATAGAATTATGCGAAATGTCGAATTTTATTTTTTAGATTCCGACCATGATTCTAATACCTTTGAATTCTCGGATTAGATGATCTGTCGTATTTTCGCAGAAATCTAATTTCGGTTCGCGTTTTCAAAGATTTCCGCCTGGAAAAAAGGAAGAAACTTTATAGAATATATTATTGTCCGTTCTTTAAATTCGGCGTTTCCCATCTTATATTTAAGCCAGTAAAAAATTTGAACACGAATTGGCATTTTTTTTAAACTTTGTTTAAATCTGGCTGGAGAATGTAACTCTAGATCCTTTTTAAAAAAAAGAGAGGTAAGGGGGGGGGGATACAGAGTTTTTGAACATTGTCTTTGAATAAAGGTGGATAGGTGGTAAATATAAGTGGGAGATTGACAAAATCCTTATAGTCTCTAACGTGGGTTATATCATTGATACTTTTGTCGTTTATGTTCTTGCTGTATTTTTTTCTATTTTCCGATGGCCCTAATAACATTTTCCAAAATAATATATAGTTTACGAAATATCAAAGTTTTTTAGGAGGGAAAGATATATCACTTTATTACAAATGTATAGGTACATTTGAAGTCAGCTGTGATCAAATGCCATTTTCTGTAGAAGAACGCCATTGAAAGACATTTCGTTTTGATTACCTTTCTCATTTCGTCTAATTGTCAATCATTGGCTGAACTTCAATATATATGTATCCCTTTAAGTACCTTTTTTTTACTGAAGAAACTGTCAACCTAGGCTATACAGTATTTACTTTTCATTGTACGTGGCAGATAGATGGCTCAGCTATATATTAAAAGATGCCACCCGAATAAGGTTAGAAATGGTTAAAAATAGTTTCAAAATGGTGGGCACAGACCCCCAAAATTCTGAATCTTCAAAAAAAAAAACACCATTTTTACTAATAAATTTTATCAAAAATTTCCATACCCATCTTTTATTTTTAAGGGGGTGGGGATCAATGATACCATGTTTTGGATTGAAGCCTCACCTCAGGGGCTGAGTGGCCATATGACTAATTGGGAATTTTGCCCACGAGGCCTCAAGAAAATGTCTATTTTTGTGGCCTATCAATAAAAAAAAAGATTGGATAAAATAAATATTATTTTTTTTTCATGGGAATTTCCTTGACATGATACACAAATCATATCAAAATATGATAAAATGCCTCAACATTTTAGACATTTAGAAAAAGGCTTATTTGCAATAGTAAAGAGGTAAAAGCTGAAATTTCCCGATAAAAATTAAAATAAGGGAAAACTCTAATAATTTTAGGTCAAAGACAACCGTTAATAAGTTATTATAACTGTTCTAGGTAAAAATTAGAAATTTAATATTTAAAAAGGGGGGGGGGTATAGGTAGCAAATTATTTGTTCGAGAATATATAGAACAAGGCTAGCAGTTGATCTTGGCAAAAAATTTATCTGGCTAAAGGAGGCTGAGGAAACAAGGTGATGGGCACGTGATTAGCACCTTAGACAGTTTATATCATAAAGAGAGACATTACTGCTGATCTCTGTGGGGCAAAAACCAACCTTATCAAAGAAATCATCGATTTAATCAAGCCAGCTCTACTCTAAATGTAACGAATCTTTAGCTTAGAATCTGAGCAAATTTTAAAACGTTCAGATCCTCTTTTTTTCTAAATAATGGGAAGATTCTCATCATATCTTCGATTAGAAAATCAAAAAAAAGGGATATACGGGATTGGTTAAATATGTTGTATCGTATTTAACGCATAAATATTTCTATTATAGGATATTTATGCTCCATATTTGCTTGAAATGACGAAACGGATATAAGATTCTTTCGATCTATCATGGCACCACATACCAAACTGTTTACTAATCTCGTTCCCATCGGTTCCATATCATTTTTTTCTATAACTATACATAAGAAAATAAAAGACGATATATAACTTGAATCCAACAATGAATCTCATTCGCAATCCAATCAGATTTTCTCGTTTATCTGTTTGACCAATCCAATCAGTTATTTCCATTTTGACGTTTAATAATAAATTTTTATAAAAAATATCATTAGTTACAAAAAAACAAATTTAATGGTTAATGCTCCATTATAATATGTAACTTAACGCCATTTGTAAGTAACTGCCCAGCTCAGTACGCAACTGCAAATACATTAATCTATTTTTATTTTGCTAATTGGAGGCATATTTATTGATGCCGGATGGAAAAGAATTGCTAATGCAAATAGAACTCGACCCAATATGATGTGCGATGATCAAGTCAATAAAGGATTCAGGACCGAAGGCCGGGTATCAGCGGACCGAGGCCCGCAAATGGAGATATGGCAGGGGCCGCTAGAAAACATTAGCCCATGAGGGCATCATAGCATCTCCAGTCCACCCCTGAAGTGACATGTTTATTGACCTAGCCCTATTTACCTGTACAATGATCTTTAAAATTTATAATGATAAGAATGTTAAAAAATATGGCATAATATAGGTAATTCTAAATTTCATCTTTTTTTATTAAAAAAAAGAAGGAAAAAAATGTTTTTCTTGTGTTAATAATTGTTTTAATATAACTTATTAATATTTATTTAATAACATAATTGTTGCTTTTAAAAAAGAGTTTTATTTTTATTATAATTTCTCTCACATTTTTCCCCTCTTATCCTTCTTTTTAAACCGAAGAATTTAATTTTAAACAGATAAACAGATGCAAAAATACGAAAATTATTTTTCTTTTTTTTAAGAGACGATTATATAAAGTAAGTGATGATAGCAAGGTAGTATATTAAAGTTTAAAAAAAAAGATGTTTTTGTAAGGTAATAAAAACCTTTAATAGCTCCTTTGCAATTGGTATTATTAGAATTTTAAATATACTTAATACTAAAATTATATAATATAGAAAAATATATATGTATACAAAATTTAAAAGGTACATTTATATATTTTATATATTTAGATAAATTGTAAAATAATTTAAAAAACTTTTAACGAAAAAAAAAGTTTATGTTTTTTTTTGTTACAAAAAACAACCAATTATTTTTGATATAAACCATTTGATTTCATTTTTTACTTACATTTTTTATAATAAGTTAAGTTATTCATTTAAAAAACTAAAGGGAAATATTTTTATTAGAATCATTATAAGAATTGTGTGTCTTTCTTTAAAGATTGTTATAAGCAGAAAAAAATGTGCAATGAAATAATGTTATAATAAGAGAGAAAAGTTCTAATAATCACGTTCGGATTTCGTTTATAACAAAATCCACAATTAATAAGATATTATTTGAAAAATATAGTATATATTTGATGCTAAAATTTTATCCAAAAGTATAATTGCTCAAAATGATGCTAACAGGGGCACCATGGGACATGACCTTCCTCCAATTATTTTTCTACCAGGTGGCATAGCCAGCGGTCGGAGGAACCCCTCTGTTAGCAAAAATTTTTGAAAAAAAAAGTTAAAATTAATTTAAATATTCTAATAACTAACGAATAGACAAAATTTATAGTTGTAAGATATGGTTTAGAAATCCAAAGAGACAGAATTTTGCTGGAAAATATTTATTTCTAAGATTTTATGTGCTACAAGGAAGAAGAAGACACTGT